AGTTTATCACAGTGACTTCCCTTACGCGGGTGAATTACTTATTTATCTCGTGACAATTAATTTGAAGCAATCGCTACGAAAAGTATGTGTTTAATAAAACTATTACCATCTGTATTTTAGAATTCCAATCCATGTTACAATGCTACACAGCATAAGTATCGAACCAAGCACGGCTCCGATGATGATATGCATTTTTGTAGAGTCTTTATCTGCTTTCAGAAAGAAAAATAAAGCAGTAACAAATAGATATTTGTATCATAAAGTATTAGTAAACCTACCTTCAGATACACTGGTACATATAACATTGACATTAAATCATGGCATTTATACTTCAACTTCATGTCTTGAGTTAAAACATCCGTGGCTGTATGGTAAATGTTGCTTACTTCTAACAACTTGCCAGTCACCGCTGAAGGTTCGAATCCCTTCAGGAACTTTGAATTCTTTCATATAAGGAAGCTATCCAGCTAGCCTACGGAACGTCGGTCGTTCTTCTCAGGTAGCCGCACGTGTTAGAAATAATCCAGGGAGGGGCATTTCACGTCTTCCTCGGAAAGTCGCCATATGAACATAACAGCGTGATATCAAACACATCAACACAAAGAAAACATAAAGTGATTAGAACCGGCATTTGTTTCTTTCCTGCTGTTTTATCTTGAAGCTCTAAAAGTTCGACATAAGCTAATTTATTGATAATTTTAACATGTAAATGTTTCAATAAATACATGTTAACAAATATTTTTATAGTAATACGACTGTGATTTCAATGATTAACTGATTAATACCCTAATATTAGACATGTTTGATATAGGCACACATGTGAAATCTGCCTTGTGCCCGGCTCTTAATATCTTAATTAACATTAATTATTCAAAATGGCAATAATGTTAGTTATTTTATTATCAATCAACGGGTTTTTTAGATTAGTAATAAAAATTGTGGGCTTATGTCCACTCTATAAAATCAAAGACGTGGGGTTTTGTCCACTCTATAAAATTTTGAGGTGTGAGGGTTTGACGTGTGGGGTTTTGTCCGTCTTCCGGTACTGCTATGTGTTATTTCTTCCCGTGACAAATTTTTCCGTCTTTCTTATTTCTTTCTTATTTCGGTCTCAAAAATGACAAATTCTTCAAAAAAAGTTTCAAAAAAGATAAACACGCGTCAAATTGAAAAAGGTTATTTTTTCTTAACTTATCACATGTTTGTTTAAAATACTGAAGATTGAAGATTCTTTTGAAACAAAATCTTACTTTATCTCATAAGGTCACAATGATCAAGTACAGATAGTTCATTTTGAAGATAAGACACGCGCTAACTGTTGAAATACACTTAACTTGTCGTGAGCTAACACTTTATTTTTAAATACCAAATAGTGACAAATCAACAAAATAAGACTCATGCTAAATTTTGTATTTTCTAATGATTAAAAAAAGTTATTATAAGGAAATGAACAGTCTTAACTACAAAAGTACGTTAAAGCAACGCGTAATTTAAGTAAAATTTGGAACGCAAACACGAATGACGTAAAGATAACCAATAAGATTGCTTAATAAAAAATGGGTATTTGCCCTACTGGGGTCCTGTGTGTTGGATTTTGTCGGGTGCTGCATTCTGAGAACATTGTTTTGTCTAGTTAATCTTTGTGCTCATATTTTGTAAGGTCTTTTATACCCTATTGTGCGCTGATGAG